GGTTTTTCCTTTTTTGGATAAATGAAGAGGAAACTGTTCGAGCGATAAGGTTGTACCAAGTTGTGGGAGGCCGTTGGGACTAAGCTTCCATAAGAAAACAGGAGATTTGTACATTTGTGATGGTTACTTTGGGGTCATGAAAGTCGGACCAGAGGGAGGTTTGGCCGAGTTAGTTGTTAGTGAAGTCGATGGTCGTAAAATAATGTTTGCAAACCAAATGGATATAGACGAAGAAGAAGATGCTTTCTACTTCAATGATAGCAGCGATAAGTACCACTTCGGGTAATGAAATGTTCACACTTTCCTAATTTGTTGTGTATTTGTGGAATTGACTTGTAAATTTGTTATGCTGGTTTTGTTGGATAGGGACGTATTCTATGTGTCTTTATCCGGTGAGAAGACGGGAAGAGTGATTAGATACGATATGAAGAAGAAAGAAGCCAAAGTTATAATGGACAAACTTCATTTACCCAATGGTTTAACTCTAAGCAAAGACGGATCATTTGTAGTCACCTGCGAAAGCGGTACGTTCACTCTACATAGAATATGGGTCAAAGGTCCTAAAGCCGGGACCAACGAGGTTTTTGGGAAGGTCCATAAGGGTTTAATGGACAATATCAGGCGCACGCCTACTGGCGATTTTTGGGTCGCATTACATTGCAAACTCACTTTGTTCACTGATGTGGTTTTTATTCACCCTTGGGTCGGGAAGTTTTTCATGAAGACGTTAAATATGGAAACTATAGTTTATCTCAGTAACGGAGGGAAACCTCATGGAGTCGCCGTGAAAGTCTCCGGGGAGACGGGAGAGATTCTCGAGATACTCGAGGACAGTGAAGGGACAACAATGAAGTACGTTAGTGAAGTTTATGAGAGAGATGATGGAAAGATATGGTTCGGTTCTGTTTTTTGGCCGGCCGTTTGGGTTCTTGATACATCGGTCGTCTATGATCGCAAATAAGTAACCAAAATGCAAGAGAATAAAAATGCAAATTTAGCAGTGTGATTTGATTATTAAGGGGAATGCA